TGAGCAATATTAGACCTTCACCATTCTTATTAAATTTTCTTTCATATTCGTTTTAATCAATAATTTTTAATTTCTAAAATTAATATTTTAAAAATAGAAATGTTTCTTTAAAATTATTCATAATTGATTGAAACGAATATCAAAGAAACTTTTAATTAAAAACGACTCCAGGAAGGAAGTTGGAAATAAACAACACAAAGTATCTGTTATATACAAAAATACAAATTTATTATATACACTATGCAGCATGTTCTTTGATCCAATTAAGGTAGGAGCTAACTCGTGTATACACAGAAGGATATACTACGTTAGCACAATCCATTGACCAAGACACAATACCGTGAAGTTTTCCATTCACCGTTAAGGGACCTCCAGAATCACCCTAAAGAAGGGAAACACGCATATTCTTCTTATGAAAGATTAACCGTTGAATTAATACTACGCGCCTATGAACTCACGTTACAATGTCCCTTAACAATAGTCGAGTCGTGTGCACAAAGCTGTGTGTCATGGATAACGTTGTTGTACATTAGATTGCAGTAAGTTTGACTTGCTACTTGGATATCTACCCAATGTAGAAAATCTGTCTTCTCTCCTTCGTACTTTAAATGATGAAAATTGTAAATTGTTATTTGGAATTTGATTATAATTTTTTATTTAAAATTTAGAATAATTCGTACTGTCAGAGTTCCAAATCCAGAAACTATAGCTGGATCGTTAGTTTCAGCGATTTCTTCAGGCAAAGGCATAGGAACGAATGATTCGAGAAAAGATTTTTTAAACTGGTTCTTTACCTGTGTAAAATTTTTGTTTAGTTGTTTGTGGTAATAGTGAATAATTAAACGAAAATAATTTAGGATAATAGCGAATAATTAAATGAAAATAATTTTGGAATGTATTTGGTTTGTGTTTTATTTAAATAATAGACATATAGTTTATTTGGTAGAATAATGTTGAGTGGTTGAAAGTATTGCTGGAACACTATGTTCGGTTCACTGATATTTCGAATTGGAAGCATTCAGACGGCATTAAAATTACATACCTTGACTAGAGCAATGTCGTTTGCATACGTATCCGTGCTATTGTATTTTTCATGAACATAAATCTTCTCGACAGGATGTTTGGAAGCTGGCTTACGCAGATCGACCGTACCAGAAACAACGATTATAATTTCTAGAGGCAGACTGCAATCGATATCGCACTTTAATCGAAAATCGTTTGATTTTGCAAAAATTTTTAAATTTTTACTAAATTCTAATTTTTACTAAATATAAAATTACATTTTTACTAAAGTTAAAATTACTATTTTACTAAAGTTAAAATTACGTTTTTACCAAATTTAAAATTACATTTTTACTAAATTTAAAGTTGAATTTTTACTAAAGTTAAAATTACAATTTGACTAAATTAAAGTTTTTACTAAATTTCAAAGATTTACTAAATTGTTCAGCAGCAACAATCGAGTATGAATTGCAATGCATGGATCATCTGGAATTGGGTTAGAAGGACGAAATGAATTTATTCCACGATACTTACTCTTTCACACAGTGAGCAGCAGTTATAACGTAGTATTCGTTGAGAATTGTACCGCCACAGTAATGATACCGAAGCGGTTCTATCTGCAGCGAGACCTGTTTAGAATCGAGACATTTTTAGATTAACTTACGTTACGTTATGTAGAATAATTTAGCGAAATGTTTGCATAGGAAAAAAACGAAAAAGAACATTTCAAACGAACCTGATACGGAAATTCACCTGGTTTTGCTATTTTTCCGCCTACAATTCTTGGCGCAAGTCCAGCTGTGGTCATAGCAATAATGATAATTACCATAAATTTAGAAACTCTGTTATCTCGCATAACAACGTAACAATCTCACCAGAAAAATATTTATAGAACGTACGTATTAAATCAAATGAAATAATTACACTCACCATTGGCAAACGCGATTAAACATTGAACCAAAAATGCAACAACTATAATCATCTCGTTAAAACGATATTTTTAGGGTGTCTAACAATTTAACGATACAATTTCTTAACAAATTATTTCAAATTGCAAACACTTATATACCAGATCGATTTTTCACAGATTAGATAAATGTCCAAATGTGTTTCTCATTTCCTCCAGATTAGATACAATAGAAGCATTTCATAATTATTCTGCGAACAACAATTTATCGTCTTCCTAAAATTCGTTTTATTTTCACGTTTCGCTGAATCGTAATAGATAAAATCGACGAATTATAATTATTCTAAGAACGATAATAATTCGATCGTCCAAAATGTTGATCCAAGGAAATGATGTTATAAAGTATTTAATATTCATGCTAAAACCAGTTGCTTTCCACGTACTCTTCGATAACAGCGTGTTAAATGGAAATATATAAATGGACAAGTGCGACAAGTTTGTTTTATAATCACCAATTTCGAGAACTTTATTGATGGGCGTATTGCCAATTGACCGGACAGCTGCGATACATGGCACATTTCCGTGTAAAAATATCGTCCTATCAGATTGGCAATGTTCTATTTTTCTTTCTTTTTTTTTTTTTTGGTTTGCCTTCGTGTTAAATCACGTGTTTATGTATGAAACAGAAGGGACGAGAAGGTAGTAAAATAAGCTTGTCACGCGACGATCCTTTCCTCTTTCGAGGGAACCAAAGATACAACATACCTATCGTTGATTTTCAAGCTGTTATGGTTGGATTGCCTACAGCACAAATTCACAAAGTGGTTACCAAATGTAAATCGTATCGCTTGAAAAAATATCTTGACATGTCAGCTCAAGTCCGAAAAAGTCAGTAAAGTTGTTTTTGGTTTATTAATCCTTTTCCTGCGGCAGGTTTTGCGGCAAAATCTTTTATTTTGGGGTTTTAAAATTTTTGAAGAGTTAAAATTTTAAATGTTTTTAAATTTTTGAAAAATTTCAAAATTGAAGTTTGAAATTTATCCTTTTATTAAATTAAGATGAGAGTACGCTGAGGGCAAAAATTAAAGATTAAATTAAGGGCGTGTCAAATGTCGCCAAGAGCGCAGCGCGAGAATATATTCACAGCGCCTATAGGCGTGAAGGCCACAGAGCGAGAAAATATTCAAACCTCCTATAGGCGCGAAGGCCACCGCGCGAGAAAATATTCAAACCTCCTATAGGCGCGAAGGCCACCGCGCGAGAAAATATTCACAGCGCCTATAGGCGCGAAGGCCACCGCGCGAGAAAATATTCAAACCGCCTATAGGCGCCAACAACAGCGAATAAGTCTTGAACAGTGACAAAAAAGACATTATCGACCTATTGACTTTCCATTAGTAAAATCGTTCAATTTCGATCTGCCTATCGGTTCAACGCCTATACGCATAGCTTGAACAACCTCGAACGAAGTTCCTTTGCTAAACTCCGCGATAGTTAGGAAATTTGTTAAAGGAACTTTCTCAAATTTCCAGTATTTTGTTTCAACTCAAAGACCTGTAGATATTTTTCCACTATGTTCTTTTTTGTTACAAGAACTTAGTTTACGTTTCAGCGAAATTTCACGCACGAAATAATAGATCCTCGGAGATAACCGATAAAGTTATTTGTAACGCCGACGAAACACTTTCCCAAAGGAATAACAGAAGCGATGCACTTCTGAATGTTTGATCCAAACTCAGTTCAGACATGTCGCACTAACAACGAGTATTAGCGTGTTCTCAAATCCTTCGTGAAACTAACTACAACGCTCGCGAAGCGTCGAAACACTTTTACGGAAGGATACGGCTTACACGCGAAAGTTTAACTCGAACCTAACTCACGGCGGTGGTACACCCGAGTATTAGTATGTTCGTACACTTTTGACAGAGCTGACTGCAGAGTTTGCGATGCGTCAAAATATTTTTTCCCCGCAAAGACTAACTTACTTTCGAAAGCTTAATTCATACCTAACCGAGGTAGCCTGCGTTAAATGTCATTATACTTTCGAGCCTTGGTAATTAACAGGACTGGACTAACTGTGCGGAGTGTTAATTGTTTGGGTTCAGTTTAGTTCGAACAGTTCAGTTTTGTAAATCAATCATGTGAAATAATTGGAAATTTTTGCTGTTCTGGTTTGTAATTCGTTTTGCAAAATAATTTGTTACTGTTCAAAATTTTATTGCAAATTTGTGTTTCGTATGTAGAATTTTTTTAAATTTTCCCGCCGTATTTACGTTAAAGAGGTTAGCGAGTTTGTCAAATGTTAATTATCTGGAAGTGTTGTTTCAAGCCTACGATTTTGTTTGTTCGTCGCAATATTTGAAAGATAAATCGAGTGATTTATATGCTTTTTCTTTTCATTAAACTGATTCGAATCTGTGCAAAGTGTTATTAAGAAAATGGAGGTATTGAAGTAGTAGTTTCAGAGGATGTAGCTTGGGGTGTACTTTATGAGGCGAAAGTTTTTGCGCCGGAGCACGTTTCTTCGCCTTTTTCCTTCATTTTTTTTCCTTCGGGCCAGCAGTCGTTAAAAAATAAAGGAAGGAAATAAATTACTTACGCGAGTACGACACCCTCGCCTTCGTTTAATCGATTACGTGCTCCGTCGGAAAATTATTATATCACCGATTACGCCATTTGATTGTGAGAAGGAGGAGGAAAAAGGACGACAAGGGAGAGAGTGTGGAGGTTGACGCGTTCTTAATAAGGCAATTATATTTTCACAGCGGTAATTCACACAGGATAATCAGTTTTTACGCCTCTGTCGCTGCTTTCTCGATCGTGTTTTATCGAGATGCTGAAATGGAGTAACGTTGAATTGCTGTCCAAAAAAATTGTCAATGACGGATTCAAAAAATCGGAAAAATTGTTTTTGAATTTTTTAAAAATTTCATATGTGCAGAATATTAGACTAAAAAATTTTTAAGAATTTGGCTTAGAATAGTAGTGAAACAATGACAATTGAAAGGTATAGTACTCCACATAATCGTGGATAGTTTTGAAATCTTTAAAGGTACACCATATTGTTAATTTTGAAAAATCGAATAAATTTATTTTTGCATTTTTTTCAATTTCATATATGCAGAATATTAGACTAAAAATTTTTTAAGAATTTGGCTTAGAATAGTAGTGAAGCAATGACAATTGAAAGGTATAGTACTCCACATAATCGTGGATAATTTGAAAATCTTTAAAGGTACACTCCTTACCGGTTTCAAAAAATGAAAAAAATTAATTTTTGCATTTTTTCAAATTTTATATATGCAGAATATTAGACTAAAAATTTTTTAAGAATATGACTTAGTAAAGTACTGAAGCAATGACAATTGAAAGGTATAGTACTCCACATAATCGTGGATAATTTGAAAATCTTTAAAGGTACACTCCTTACCGGTTTCAGAAAATGAAAAAAATTAATTTTTTCAAATTTCATATGTGCAGAATATTAGAGTAAACAATTTTTAAGATTTTAATCTAGAAAAGTAGTGAAACAATGACAATTTAAAGGATACATTACTGTAATAAAGACAATTCATCAGAAGTTCTTCAAATTCACAAATTTCTGCTCTGTTCAGAGATTTCAACAACCTTTCAAGAAACTTGCAATTTTTCACTTCGCAACAGAAAATACTACGAAAAACACACGTCGAGGCTTTGTTCTTCTCGACAAGTACGCACTCAAGCTAATGGAGATTATTCTAATTGTAAAGTGAAAATTTCAATTTCATATGCATCAAGCGAGCATCAGGTGACTTTAATCACGCTACCGCGTTATCGAAAGAAACAAAGTGCCCGTCGAGGAACGTTTATGGTGGCAACTTTGAAACATCAAAGTTCTTCAGCGATAAAGGGTGGATAAAGTGGATGGATAGAACCACGAAACGCTGTAAAATTGTGTGTGTCGTTCGCCGGATCGAAATCGAGCGGGCAATACCGAGGTCTGCGAACTTCGATAACGATTGAACGATTTCAGACGCCTAAGGCGATCCAGGGTTACGTAGCCAGCCGTCGAAAATGGGTGAAATTGGTCGTCTTGGGAATGCTGTCCTTATTTACCGGCGAGCCTTCCAGCAAACCGTGTAGGAACGATATGGAGTAATTTAATTACAAGAGACGAACATTGTCTAGCCTTCGTTTTTCGGAGAAAATTGTCCCCAAAGCTGCAAAATGAAAACGAAACCCTCTGCTTTTTATCGAATTAATTACCGACGAAATTGTAACTTTTGAAAAAGTGGTCCATCGCTCCCCGATTTACCCTACTTATACTTTGTTGAACAGTTACGAGCAAAAATACACGTCATTGTTGACCACGCTGTGTGACTCAATTACGCAATCTATTACATTGTTAATTAAATTCGCGATCTTAAAATTCTTTCGAACAAATTGCACGTATATCAAAATTGAGATAGAAATATTAAAAATAATTGTAAAATGAAGAGCTCTCGAATGATATCTAGATCAGTGAAAATAATCAACAGATAAATTTCTCACGAATAGACAGCGGATTTTTATGCAAATTTGTATTAAAATTATATTAGTTGTAAAAAGAGTAGAACTTGGGCAGAAAATTATTTTAAAAATATTTTTTCATATTACCTGCAATTTTGTATCTCTGAATTTCCCGTAAATGCATCAAAATCCTCAGTCTAATTGCGAATAGAAAAAAGAAGTTACAAAACATAAATTACTGAATTTAGTTGCCAACCTAAACATTTAGCAAATTTGAAAGACTCCACTGTTTCATTATTCGAACACAACCGTCGAAGTTGTGACTCAATTCGAGCTGTTTGAAAACATTCTCAACACTAGCTGATCGGTGGACGTTCGTAACGAGAAGCGAAATAGAGGAAACAGAGTGAAAATGAGGGAAGAGGACTGCACACAACGGCGTGATGCACTTTATCTATCAATCTTTCAAAAGCGACGCATCAAACGGCGAAAAAATGCGAAATCGATAACCCGTCGCGCGACTGTACATCTAAGCATCCAGGTCCCAGCCATGAGATATCAAGCTGTCATTGGAGCGTGATGAAGGA